GAGTTTGTTGTACCGGAACAGCGGTCAAGAAAGCGCTTAAAATGGGCAAGATATGGGCAAATCCCCGTTTTGTCCCGGGAGGGGGACAGAAAGTTCGTGTCCCCTGATTTGCATTTCCCCATACATTGATTAAGATAAATCACCAAGTTTCGCTGAAAACCCACCTTCCCGACTCCGGATTAAAAATCTGAGACCGGATACGGCATCTACACACCGAGAGCAACCCACAGTTGGACTTTCAGAGCTTAGGTGGTTTGGCAACATTGTCAATCTCAACCCCTCCCCAGCATATACCGGAAGGCGCCCCGTCCCGACTTGGGCCTGGCCGTGGCTTGTGGCAGCCTCATGCAGGTAGACCGCACAATCGAAATCCGAGGGGAAGAGAGGGTAGTGAGACAGCAGCGGAAGAAGCACAGCCGCGGGATACTGATAATCAGCCAGCTATTGAGAAAGGGTACCACCGAGGCAGCTGGAAAACCCGTGCAATCTGTGGTTGATGATGAAGTTGAGCTCCTCGAAAAGGGTAGAGAGCATGTTGAAGGCATACGAGAGAGAGCATCGACCCGCGGGAAACGACAGCCTACTGCTGCTGGTGGTCTGACAAGCGCATAAAATGGGCATGATATGGGGAAATCCCCGTCTTGTCCCCGGGGGGGACAAAAATTTCGTGTCCCCTGGTGGGAAGTCGCCAGTTAAGTGTGCAAAAACTGTAGGATTTGTTGTACCGGAACAGTGGTCTGACAAGCGCATAAAATGGGCAAGATAAGGGGAAATCCCCGTTTTGTCCCCGGGGGGGGGACAGAAAGTTCGTGTCCCCTGGCCGGAAGTGGCCAGCAAAGTTTGCAAAAATTGTAGAGTTTGTTCTACCGGAACAGCGGTCAAGAAAGCGCTTAAAATGGGCAAGATATGGGCAAATCCCCGTTTTGTCCCGGGAGGGGGACAGAAAGTTCGTGTCCCCTGATTTGCATTTCCCCATACATTGATTAAGATAAATCACCAAGTTTCGCTGAAAACCCACCTTCCCGACTCCGGATTAAAAATCTGAGACCGGATACGGCATCTACACACCGAGAGCAACCCACAGTTGGACTTTCAGAGCTTAGGTGGTTTGGCAACATTGTNGGGTTTCGGCATCTTGTGCTTACTTCCTTGCGTACGGATGACAGCTGCGTATGAATTTTTTCCCCGGGGGGGGACAGAAAGTTCGTTTCCCCTGATTTGCTTTTCCCCATACATTGAGGAAGACAAATCACCAAGTTTCGCTGAAAACCCACCTTCCCGACCCCGGATTAAAGATCTGAGACCGAATATCGCATCTACACGCCGACAGCAACCCACAACTGAATTTTCAGAGCTTAGGTGGTTTGGCAACATTATCAATCTCAACCCCTCCCCGGCATATACCGGAAGGCGCCGCAGGCTAAATCGGCTAAATCGAAGGGAGACAACGGTACATACTTCTGTCTGCGCGTACAGCCTTGCTTGTCTAGCCAACTTCAGGAACGACTCATAACCTAGTAGAGTCAGTCCACTACCAGTCAATATACGATAGTAAAATTCCCGCTGTATGAATCGCCTTTACCCTGGAGCGCCCTTCCTTCCCTGCTCTCTGTTCAATCATGGTGACATCCTTGAACTTCCAGAATCTTGTCGGCGGGAAGGTGCATGGCCAGCCCAAGGAAGCGGATGGGGGCATCTCCCCACCTGCAGACGAGACGCCACGCCCACCCGAAACGGTCGCCAGAACATTAACATTCAGTGTTGGGATTGTTGTTGGTGGTGTTGGTGTTCGATCATGCTTTCATGCCGCAGCAATTTTCCGGGCATGCCACTCATTTCATGACGCGTGTTTGGAATGCGGCCATCCCGAAACTCGCTCGAAGACGGCATTGTGCATCGTACATCTCAAGCGCGGAAATCGTCCCAGCAAATGATTTGCTACCGACCCGGTTTGTTTATCGTTTCTGTTTTTAGGAGCTGGCTCGAGTAGAGTAGACCGGATGTGGTAGCATGATACACAAACAAGTGCACCTCTGATTTCAACCATGTTTCGCCGTCGAAAATGTATATAGTCAATTATTAACCTGTTGTAGAATATGGAACCGGTCTTGTCGACAGCATTGAACCAGTCCTGATACCAAGAGCTCCTGAGCATCTGATCGGAAAAAAGAGGACCGAGAAAGTCGGGGGTGTACGTCGGCGTGTGCAATCATGTTCATCGTGTGATCGTGTCTCATCGTGTCCAGCCAGGCAAATCCGGTGACATCGATTTACAGGAGAATCATTACATGCCCAAAATAATTTCAACTTCTGTGGGTGCATCCTGCGGCGATGTCCAATGATGTCCATGTCACTAAGGGCATACAGGTTAATCAGACTTTTTGTGCCTATCTTGAATGCGCATATGCATGAAGTACCGTAACCTTCCGTTCCTCAAAAATACTCTGAAGTACTGCGGAAACGTGAATCTGAAGTTTGCAGGGTTTAGACGATCATGACGCGCTCCAGTGATGTCAAGTACTGCTGTATGGTGAAACGTCGACACCGATCATCATAAAGATGCGATTGGCACCGGAGACGTAAAATTGTCAGACCAACACACGTAAAGTTATACTAACAGGTTTTAAAACGATAGAGTTGAGAGCCATAGTGCAAAACGATCCACCCTAAACGCATGTATTTATTGTGCTGCTTTTGGCCTGCCATTCTTTCCGTCCCCCATCATCACCACGAATTTTCGTTGACGCATCACACGAGGCTTGTTGGGGCCGGTCGGTGACTTTTTGACACACCTACCTCTATTCTTGCCACCTCGAAGTTGGTATAAAAGGCTGGCACCGCTTGGAAGTGGCGATCTCGACATGGCACGTGGTGTATCTGCCACGTGCGGGTAGTCGTT